GGGGAGCACATGGCAAATTACTCACCTCAAGACTGGGAAACAAGAGAGAGGAAGAAGGGGGCCAGGATGGTGCAGTCCCCTGTGAAAGCACTCCTCTAATGATATACGGTTCCAACCCCAGCCTGCAATAACACCACTCTGGGGACCAACCCTTCAACACATGGAACTTTGGGAACATTCACAATTCAAATTATAGAAATAACTTGAGTTGAAAACAAATGACATTTAGGAAGGATTTATTAATTTTTCAGGGCTAGGAGAACTCTGTAGGGTAGTAAGATAATAGCTCATGATTCTTGAGAGAGAAGCCAGGGGCTGGGAAAAACTGACTGTAGGAATGACTTTTACAATATGGACATAATATGGATTAAAGATTCCTACCTAACCTTGCAACAAAAAGAGAAGACATCTGCTTCTCTTGTGACATGAGCACTTGACCTTAATACCTCAGGATCCCTCCTCGCCCCCAATCCAGGATAGTGAATGAATGTGGGTGGGTGTGCATGCTTTACATATCAAAGTGCTGAAAGCTGTGCACTTTTCTCAACGCTGAGAGAAACCTGTTTGTTGTGGTGTACGCTGTGATGTTCTAGTTCTAGGGATCAAAGGGCAAGATTCTCAGATAAAATAACGGTTGGTCCCAACTACTACTTCTCCATTTCATGATGGAGAAACTGTTTCAATGAAAGAATGAGCAAAGTCCTGGCTCAGGAGGACACTTCTGAGAGACAGCTGAAGGAAAGGTTCTCAGAATTTGGGTTCATGCTTGGCCTTATGAATGCTAACAGTCAGGCTGTGTCTTTTTTTAAGCATTGCTGTAATGTGACCTAAAAATGCCGCAACTGACAGGACATGCTGCCCTTGCCCTGTTCCCACCAACCACTGTGAGAGACCCTGTCTGAAAAATTAGAGACTGAGAAAAATATATGATGTCAATCTCTGGCCCCTTACATGCACCTGCACACACAGATGTACACACACAAATATGTGCATACACACAGGTTCAGTGTTTTCAACTAATACAAAAAAGTACAGTTTGCATGTTTATGTGTACTTTGATTCTCTGTGCCTAGTGTGCTTTTCTTTAACATATAGTCCATTTTAATAAGCAGTGTGACAGAAGTTACAGTCATTCATCTGTTTTTGTTTTTTATCTAATACTACTACTTCTTTTCCCAAATAGAAAGATAAAATGAAAAACAAAAACCCTTTTCATGTGTACCTCCACTTGATTTAAGGTAATCTGTCTAACAATTTCTTGCATAACCTCAAAACTTTGATGTATATAAAAGCAGATTTTGAGAATACACACTGTTCTAGTTTGTTTCTCCATTGCTGTGACAAAGTACTCTGACCAATACCAACTTGGGGAGGAAGGGGTTTATTTGGCCTACATCTCCTGAGTTCATCAGGAAGCACAAGGTAGGAGCTCAGGACAGGAACCTGGAGGCAGGAGCTGGATCAGAGGTCATGAAGGAACGATGCTCAGTGGCTTGATCTCTGGGCCGTGGCCAACGTGCTTTCTCCAAACACATAA